TTTTCAGATTCGGGTTTCCAAAATGTGCCAACATGTCTCCCTTAATAAATTGGAACTTAGAGCAATGCTTTGCCTTGACTCTGATTTAATTTTGGATGATATTTGGAACACTGACACTAACCTGAATCTCCTTTAAAAATAAATCATTAGCAACCCCTGCACGGGGTGCTGGCGTGGGGTGCTGACTCCCAACACTGACCTGACCTGGTCAGCATAAAATATCAGTGAAGATGAAAATCGAGCCTTTGAGAATGGAAGCAGAGGACAAGTTACTTCTCTGCAAACCTTCCACTTTTACAAAGGAATCTGTGGAGGAGGAAGGCAAGAGATTTATAGCATCTGGAAAGATGCGGTCGCAGCCAGAGGGGGTTGGAAAAGCTATTTCAACACACGGCTTGAGGGAACCAAAGCAATCACCTAGCAGCCAACCAGATGATCGGAGCCTCCCAGACCAACTTGTGCAGCCAAACATGAGTGGATATTTCCCTTCCTTCACTAGCAAAAGCTGCAATGGACTGGAGTGGAGATAATTACTCCTTCCATACAGCGATAAATGCTGAGCCAGCAGGAAGGGATTTGGCCAGTATCTCTCATTAGTCAGCCACCGATGTTTGGGCTGCAACTAGTGAATCAAGCAACACCAAATTGGGTTTTCTTCCCAGGTCATGGATGGGAGAGCCTGCTTGGCCACCAACATGGGAAAATCAACCCAGCCAGCAGAAAGGGGTTTGGGCCATATCTTCCCCTAGCCAGGCATCACTGTTTGGGCTTCAACCTGTGTATCAAGCAATAGGTTTTCCACTCAGTTCATGGATGGGAAAGATGCCAGTGGGCACCTGCTCTCCCTCAGCAGATGGTGCCATGTCAGATAACTGGGCAGTGGCCAACCCAGGGATTGACACCCCAGTCCAATCTCACCTGTAATGCCCCAACAGGTTCTTATCCCACCTTCTGACGGAGAAATGTTCTTGACAATGGAAGAAGGGATGAATGAGGGGAAACTGCAGGATGGATAGCCAAACAATGTGATGAGGCAGTTCCTAAGTTTAGAGATGCAACTGGGTTCCGTCCCTGGAAGGGGGGAATAAAATGCCGCTGTTGCTGGCAACTTGGCCACAGAGCGTCAGAGTGCTTGGCTCCAGCCCCAATATCATATTGGTGTGCACCAACCGCCAGCATGGTAAAAAGAAGGCCCCAGAAGCCACCACAAAAGAGTCATCTGGGCTCTTAAATGTTAATTAATATGGGGAAAATGTT